GCAACCTGGATGAATGGCATCACCGATGATGCCCGAAAAATGGATATAAAAATTAGATTATCGAACAAAATTATTTTCATTAATTTCACGTAAAAATTACACAAATGATTTCTAAATTCATCGATACCCTTTTTGCAAAAATTTTGAGTTTTAAATAATTTTTCTTGTTGTCCTTAGGTGATGCTCCAACTTTAATTCTGATGTTGGCTTTGGATATCTACTTACTGTACGGAAAATTAAAATTAGCATAGTCTTTGAACGTAAAAAGTCAAAACCTTTAAGTTTTAATGGAATTATTTTTGTACATAAAATTTATAGTTTCTGAATAAAGCGAGAGTTTAAGTTGGCAAAATAAATATAATTTGAGAGGAAAAAATTTTATTCTATTTATTTTTTAATTACTAACATTAAAAAATTTAAAAGAATCTTTTTATTTCACATTCTTATTTGCTGCACAATATTCACTCATATCGGGATAACACTAAAAAAACAACAGTTTAAAGCATCATGGAAAAAAATAAATATGTATCTACTTAGATCTGACAAAAATATATAATAACAAAGCTTTGTTATCTCATTTAATATATATCTGAGTTTCAGCAGTGACTTAAGAAACTTTCCTTGTTCTTTTACCCGAAACTAGCACAAATCGATATTTATCTCGTTCGTTTCATTACATTGATAAAAGCTTGAATTTCTCTAAACGATTCAGGAGCGGATGTATAAAAGAGAATATGTCGAAAGCATTTTCAACTTCCCTTTATCTCGTGCGAACCACACATCTGTTTGACGAAGACATAAAAATGAAACAGAGAAAGGAAAATTCGTTCGATTTCACTTTTCTCTATAGATTGCCACAACATTCGTCTGTAACTTCTTTTTATCTGAAAAACTTTCTCTTAGGTCTTCAAAAATGAAGACTTCTTTTCCTTGTTCTGAATCCGAGTGTGGGTTACTTATAAAAGAATAAAAGGAAACCCGTCTGAATTCAGAGAATAGAAAAGTCGAGTGATGGAGTGAAATGTTATTGTTATCGCTTGTTTTTCTGATTCTAAAGATCTTTAAATGATTTGTTGAATAACCAAAGGTAGTTTTATTTAAATTGGATTCTGAAGATGAGGTCATTGAAATGTTAAAGAATACAGTGTTGATATCTGATAAAATGAACAATATTTTTAACCATAACCATTCGATGATTATTGATATTTTATCACTCTTTTCATTTATTGATCCAGTTGTGTCATGACTCCTGAAGTGAAATTATCATTTCACATAACGTCAAGCAATAATTGATGATTATGAGAAAATCTATTTTGATGTTATCTGAATAAAAACTTTTCTTTTCCTTTGATTTTTATTGCTTCATGTTATATTTTTTATGTGACGTGCTTAATCACCATGTTTTTATATTTAACTTGTCTCTTTAATTTTTTTGTCACGTCAAATAAAAGTCGATGTTTATTGTCATCATCGTGATTAAACATTAAGTCATTGATGGTTCAAACGTCGAAGCAGCAAGCAAGCTTTCGATAAAATCATTTATCATCTTCAAGAACATATCACTGCTGAAACTTTTTCCTTTCTTTCTTTTATTGTTATTTCAGTTCTATATGTAGGTATCTAATTGTATAATCTACCAAAAAGGCTTTTATTACAACAGTAATTTAGTAACATTACATAACTCAAACCCCAAAAATGAAAGCATGAATCGATTGATCGAAATGAATGAGGCATAAAAGTTTCTTTTTCCTTGATTATACATTTTTTCTTTTCTTCAATCATTTGTGTGAATACTTGAGGCGAGACGAGAGCATTAAAGCTTTAATGTGCTCATTTCAACATATTTTAATTATATATATCGAAAACCTAATATTTCTCCTTTCAGTATGTTTGTTTATTTCAGCAAAGCTACTTTCTTTATGTAATTAATTGAGTAATCATGTTAATCAAATATGTATATTGTGGTTTGGAAAATAAGTGGAAGTAGGAACGAAAATAATTGACAATTTGAAAGGAAATGAAGGAATGTAATTTCATGCTATTCAAATTCAAATTCCTTTGATTAGTGAAGTTTTTATTGAAAAATACAGTAAAATAGCTTTCATAAAACATTGGAACTATGAAAAGTGCCTTATAATTAAGATACTTCTCTTTCTTTCAAGGAATATTACTAATAAATGCTCAAACTCTTCAAATGTTTCAATATCTTATGATAGTTGTTTGATTATTGTATACATTCACTTAATATTCATTAACAGAAGCATACAAACCGATCTTGTATCAAGAAGAATTATTTATTTCCTTTCCCTTCATGTACTCTTGCATGTGGGAAACCGTTATAATCTTAAGGTTTGAATAGGTTTGTTGCTTTTAAATATATATTAACTTCATAGTTTGCTATAATAAATTATATACCTAATTAAGAATACATGTTGATATAATAAACAATTTTAGAATTGGGCATTTCTGAAATTTTATTAATTTGCATTTGATCCCTTTGCAAAGATTAAAACGTATGCTTGTCTTTCTTCAATCATTTCAATAAATTTCACTAACTAGCCGAATTAAATTTAGTATCACGTCATTTATCATATTTTATTTGACTGTACTGTGCTCTCTAACTTTAATTAATCATTACTTAACTGCTACTAAAAACTGATTCGTATTCTATTGGCAAGTGACTGCTACTCGAATGCAAATCAAACATGCAAGTTTAGTAGTCATGTTGCAAGTTACTCAAATGTTTTATCAACTAATTGAAAGAAAATGAAGCGAGATAATTTTTTTAAGCATGAAATTTCTCTAAATATCTAACTTAAATGACAGGAAAACAAGAATTAATTTCAATGATTCATCGTTACATTTACAGCTTAAGGTTTACAGTTACTATGTTGTTGTCATAATTGCATGTTATGTTCGATTTATAAAAAGTTAAAAAGGGTATGAAGAAGAGAATGTTTAAGAAATATTGAGCTTAAATTGAAAATATTTATTTTTTAACTTCCATGACAACATTAGAGATTTAATGAGAATATGCGAAAATTTTATAACCTTCACTTGTAGGTATTTAGGTTTCTTAAAAATCGATTCATCTCATGTTCCTTAAATTTAACTATTTATCTCCATACTGAATATTAAATCGCGTCAGATTTTATTTGAAAATTGTGTGACATTGATAACTCAAACAAATATTATTTTAATGACAAACTTTAGTTAAAGTGTTGGTAATCCCTTTATCGATCATTTAAGCTTATTCTTTAATATACAAAAAATTAACATTCCTCTATTCTGTCGTTTAGTTTATTTGAAAACTGTTCTGCTAAATGAAAAGCGAATTAAAATATTTTCAGCCTTTTTTAAGCCATACCTTTTACTTATCTGTAGTTGATAGTCCTAAATTTTGTTGAACAACATTTAAATTTTATGTTGTACGTACGTGTTCCAGACAGAAAAGTTTTGATCCTTGTCTCGCTCGACCCATGAAAACGTGTATAAACGTCTATGCAAAAATATTCAGCATTGATACCAAAACTTTTTCTCTCTCATGAAGTGTAAGCGAAGAAAGCATAGATAAAACGATTATTTAAACCGTTGTATCTGTTATGTTGTTGATTATGAAATTTCGTTGTCTGATCATATTGTAATGATAATAATGTATAAAAACCAAAATTGAAAATCAAAGCAAAAATTATCCACTGAATGATTTCTATAGAAATTCACATACATCTGAATCAGTTTTATCCATGTTAAAGGTCGTCGCTATGTTCAGGAATTAAATTAACATTATTTCTCTAGATCTAAAGCTTGTTATGTGTCAAACGTGCGTCGGTACGTATTTCCATGTCTACTGTTTACCGTAAATGGAAGGAAAAATCCACAACCAGCCACTTAAAAAATATTCTTGAAATGAAACCTAACGAATGTTTTTGGTTGATTTTATTTTATATAATTTCCTTAGATTTTTCCTATATCTTTCTAAACGTGACCTTTATCGAAGATTCTCATGCAACATCAGTTGAGTGTGAATTTGAATAAATATTATTTATTCAGTAGATTTAATATTTATACTATTTAAGTACTTCATCAATGTGAAACAGATTTAATGACTTGCGATGATTATTATGTATTTAAAATTTATAAATCCTTATTTATGAATTTGGATATCAATTTTTCTTGTTATTTCTACCCTAATGTGGTCGGTGTTTTCGATTGAGGAAACAAAAAGATTTCCATAGTTGATTCTATGATTATGACGTCGTTTTATGATCCGAAGCAAAGAAATCGAAGAATCTTTTGTGAATTTGATCCAAGAGTCTTCATAAGCTTGCTGAGGTAAGAAAAATCTGATAATCAAATTTACTCAAGTCAAATAAAAAAAAATATTTGCTGAAAGCTTTAAGTCTCATTTATTAGCAATCTCTTATCCATAATAATCTTTGAGATTATTTAAGGTTCACTTCATTTTTTATTCCTTTTATTATTTTATAAAGGGTTCACTTAAATGCCTTGAAAAGTAAATTAATTCGAAAGAAATAAGAATTAAGGATGCCAAAAAAAGGGAATGATTTATTAATATTTTAATCATTCTGAAAACATATTTTGGGAATTTATTTTCTCATAATTTTAATTTTGCATTGTCCAGGCTTCGGTAGAAGAGCTACTGATCCAATATCAAATTCAATTTGTTCTTTGCTTGTAGCTTCAAAATTGAAATTCAATAATAACAAGACAATAGCGAGTTTCGAAACCATTAAACCCATTCGGAAAGCTGTGGAAGGAAATAAATAAAAATTGCTCTATGTGAATTTGAAAAAAATTTATACCAATGCAATTCCTGGGTCCAGTGCCAAAAGGCATGTACATGTCTTCATCATATTCATGTTTCTCTTCGGTAAATCTCTCGGGATCATAACAATTTGGATTAGGAAAAAAGCGACTGTCACGATGAATACCTAGAAGTGAAATTATGATTGACGTTCCTTTTGTGATAAAATGTTTAGTATTTGGAATTTGATAATCTTGTGTGCATTCTCGGTTTAATATAGGCAAACCAGGATATTTGCGTAAGGTTTCTTTGACACACAAGTCAATATAATTCATATCCATAATTGATTCATAAGTCAATTCCCCAGCATGTTTCTCTAAAACGCTTGTAATATCCCTCTGCGCCTGTTTTAATAAGTCTTCGTTTTGAGTTAACTCATATAAAGTGTAAGCAATAGTTGATGATGAACTTTCATTGCCAGCAATATAGAAAAGGAAAACGTTGCCTGCAATTTCCTCTATACTCATATTCTTTTTAGAGTTGTCTGGAATTTAAAACACTGTAAAAGCTTTCGATCTATTAACATGAAAATATTCACTTGAAGAATTGATTTTCCATTCATCTGCATCTATATTATGTTCCTTGCTATTTCTCAATTGAATTAAATATTGCATCAGATCTTTTCGCTCAATATTATTTCTTTCGCGTTCTTCAACAGTTTTTGTTACTAATTTAAGGCAAAACTCTTGCATGAATGATGGAAGGCCACTCATACGAAAAAGATTGAGAAGTCTGAAAAATAGTAAAGAAAATATCTGAGTTCAGATAAGAAATTAATACATCAATGAAATTCTTTAAGTATTTACATACTTTGGACAAACGAACACAGCTGTACGACGAATGATATCAATAAATTTTGAATTGTCATTAATTCTTTGTAAGCTAGCCCTGAAATCATGATTTGGATCGTTCAAGCAAGAAACATCGTTTTGACCAAAGGCAATTGATGCTAAGCAATCAATAACATATCTCCCAGCAAGGTCACGAATGTCAATCAGTTGTTCTTTATCTGCCATTGGATTCAAGACATTCGTAAAATTCTGACCGACATTAAGAATGCTTGGAAACATTCCCTTCAGTTTTCCGGATGTGAAAGCTGGTGTGAGCTTTTGTCGCAATGACTTCCAAGCATCACCAGGTAATGCAAAGAGACTTGCAGACATCGGATCATTTTTGGGATCACAATGAACGCCTCGATCATGGAAATGCTTGAAATCTGTCACCATCACATTTTTGATCAGTTCTGGATCTTTCATAAGAATTGCTGGACGAAAGAACAAATAAATTCCCAAAAATGGTTCTTTCGTTTGAGTGTAAATATCGTAAATTGCTGTTCCAAACGATCTCTGTTTTCGAACGACTGATTGTAAATTTCCATAAGGAATTTTGCCTTTAAGATTTGGAATTCCGACGCTGTCCCAATATGAATACTTTCGGTGAATAAATATCACTAAAATTACCCACAAAATAGCCAAAAGTTCAAGAAACATTTTCCTTTTTTATTTCTTAAAATTCTTCAATTTTTATTATTTTAATGACAACTGACTTCAATCACTTCCCAACAATAATTGACTTAAACTGTTTCTACTCAACAATAAAGAAAACAATTTAATCTAGTCTAGTTGTAAGTGTGAGTGATGAGGTTTTATCACTGAAACTCTAAAAAAGAAATTCTCTTTTTGTTGCAAGAGGTAAATTGATTTATAACTGAAGCAATATCACTTCAAGGACACTTTAAACTCCATAAATTACCCCTTGTCATATTGTGATAATCTATGACAGAGAAAAAATACGTCATAGGCAGATAATTTAATACATGAATGTGAGAAGTTATTGAATTGACCCGATTCATTGAAAGAAAAAAACAAATTTGATAATATTAATAAATCAACGATGCTAATATTTTTCAATTTTGTTTTCGGCTAGAGTTTGATTACATTAGTTCATAAGAAAAAAGAAATTTTGAATTATTTTTTTACTCTTTGTGTTACTCGCAATTTAATTCCACCTTTGGCATCCAAAGCAATTGTATTTGGAAGAAATTCAATTTCTTCTTTCTTAATAGCTGTGAAATTGAACTTTGAAAGTAGAACAGCGAGTCCAACTTTAATGGCAAGAATTCCCATCCTATATGCAATACAATTTCTTTGACCATCACCAAAAGGAAAATATGCTTTTGTGTTGAAATCAACACTGCTGAACCTATCAGGATCATATTTTAACGGGTCATTAAAATAATTCTCATCTCGATGAATACCTAAAAGTGATATAACGACTGCGGTTCCTTTTGGAATTAATTCGTTTGTTTCTGGGATCATATAATCTTTTGTACATTCACGATTTAAAATGGGAAGCGCAGGATATTTGCGTAAAGTTTCCTTTACACACAAATCAATGAAACTCATCTCATTTATGCTTTCATACGATATAATTTGGTTGTGTTTATTGAGCGCGCTATCAACATCCTCTTGCGCTCGTTTCATTAAATTTGGATTTTGTGTGAGTTCATGAAGTGTGAATGATGTTGTGGCACTGGTGGATTCTGTGCCAGCAATGTACATGATAAAAACTTGAGCTGCAATTTGATCGATACTCATTGATTTATTTCCTGAAAAAAAAAAATACACATTTTTTCATTCATATTTTGCCGCATTGAATTACCACAAGGGATGGATAGAAAAACCTAAAATTCCATCTACATCAACTCACCCAACGTTTCTAATTTCAATTCATCAGATTGTTCAATGTTGTTGTTATTCCGCAATTGAATCATTGATTGCATCAGATCTTTTCGTATCGTCCTATTACGCTCACGTTCTTCGACTGTCGCTTTGACAACATCAATGCAAAACTTTCTCATGCTTTTGGGAAGAAATTTAATACCCGTGTATTTGAGCAAACTAAAATAGTAGAAATAAAATTCCTTCAAGCAAACAAATAAATATAAATAAGTTCTCGATGTTAGGCAAACAAAAACAACAATTCAACTAGAAAGTAAGAAATTGATAAAAAGAAATCAAATGCTAAAAACAGTAAAACGGAAATGAAAAGAAGAGACGAGAAAAATTATTTTTTTCTGCAATACAAGAGACAGAAAGAGAAACTGAAGGCATTTTAGTATCGAGTTTCATTCAAGCTGAAATTGTGTCACAAAATGGCATATTGTAATTCCATTGTAAGATCTCTTGCTACTAAAATATTTTCATCTTAGGATTCAAGTGAGTTTAAGTGTGATAAGTAAATATACTTTGGCCAAAGGAAGAATCCTGCGTTGCGGAAACCATTAATCAAGTTGGGATCCGTGAAACTTTTCCCAACGTCTCGGAAAATGTGCCGCGGATTTCTAATAGTGTTGACTTCAAAACCAAAAACTGTGCTCGCCACAATGTCGACGATGTATCTTGACAATAAATCCTTCATTTCCACAACATTATCATTCACTATTTGTTGTTCAAGGTATTTTTCCAAGTCCAATCCGACATTTAGGATTTTTGAGAACATTCCTTTAAGTTTAGCTGAACTAAATGCAGGCGTTAACTTTTGACGTAAATTCTTCCACTCAGATCCACTCAACTGAAACAATCCACCCGATAATGGGTCGCTTTGAACATTATTATACACTCCGCGGTCATAGAAATGTTGAAAGTCGTTATTCAGCACATTTTTCACTATATCCAAGTCATTTATAAGCAAAGCTGGACGAAAAAATAAATAAATGCCAACGAATCGAATATTCCTTGTTTTTTTATATAACTCGTAAATTGTAATTCCAAAAGATTTCTCTCCTGTCACCACAGATTTTACGTTTCCAAATATAAACAAAGGTTTAACTTCCGGAAATTGTAAACGTTGCCAATACGTGAAGCTCCTACGGATATAGAAAACTGTAACAAATAATGCTAAGAGAACTAAGCTGAATAAAAACATTTTCCTAATAAACCAAATAAAAACTCATAAATCTTATTTATAGTTTTTTTTTCGGCTTTTTTAAAAAAATCCATGCAAAGGTGTATTGAAAAATAAATAAATTAAATTAAAATCTTATCTACATCAATTTTCATTTGTGGCAGTATTGTTATGATATTTTTTATCTAAATCTCTCATTAAAATTTCAACAAACTCATTGAATGTAATTTTATATTTTGGTTTCAATTATGTAGAATATTCCCACGATCATGATCAGGTCAATTATTAAATATTCATAAACATATCATTATTATTTCCAACCCTATTAGCTATTACAAACTGTTCACAGTTTCATCAATGGATTATTTTGTTGACAGTTGCGTGATTGCAAATGTTCTATGCTAAATAATTTTTGAAATTATTCACTTGTAAATATCTCGAATGACTATGAAAAATTTCTGTTTCAAAGCTGAATTAATTGATAAAGTTTCACTGAATCTTTTATACAGTCTAAAATTTTTCATTGACAAAATAAAATGTTCTTAAATATATTGAAAAAAAATACTTTAAAAATCAATCTGATGAAGCAATTAGTTTCAAAGGTAGGTATTAGAATAAAATTTTACCGAATAAAATAATTTATTATGAAAGTTTTCCTCTATTTAATAAAGAATGTTAAACTTCGTTACATATTCTGAATATATGATGTAGGTAGTTAAATTAATAATTGTAATATTTTTATTAATCATTTATTTAAAACCACTTTATCCTCTTGCGTCATTTGACGGAGCTAGGCTAAACGAAGCCATTCGCAATCGACGGATATTTCTGTAATGAACAACTTTCTAAAACATTCTAATGGGCGACGGACAATTTAAGGGCCGTTCTCCCATGTAAAAAACACATAATTTACATCAATACGAGGTTTCTTGCATTTCATTCACCATTGGAGGTAGAATTTTCCTTTGAATTTTTAAATCCACGAAGATATCACAGCATCTTTGGAATTAACTTCACAAAGATTATTTTGTTATTCAAAAATTTTCCGGGAAGATTTCTCGTCAGCTTGTGGGTGTGTAACTTTCAAAACGTCAAATATCACATTCTAAATACGCAGCTTAAAACAATTCTCAAACAGCTTCATACAGATTTTTCTTTCTTTGACTTTAGGAGGAAAAGTTTGTCAACTTAATTATATGGATTCGAAAGTTGAAATCCTTAAAACTTAAGGGCATGGAAACATTTCATCTGAAATAAACATTTTTGGCTTTTATAAAGTGTTTCTCAACCCTCTTCATATAAAATTTCAGAGTGTTAGCAAAGAAGGAAAATAAATATCAATAAATTTTTCAAGTTGGAGATTCCCCTACATAAAAAAGAGAGGGTGTTGAAGACAATATTCAAACTAAGAAGATGAAAAAGAAAGCGTATAATCGACGTGACCCTCGTCAAAAAGACTCTTTTTTATTATATTTTTTTTCTTCGCAGAAATAAAATGTAGATACGTGATTAAATATCCAGTTCAAGTCCGTATTGCTACTGAAGCATTTTGCACGATTTTCCGATTGAATTGAAACGGAAAAAAGGAAATGGCGGTACGATAACTGCAATTGAGGATAAATAGAATCTGTCGATGTCTTTACAATTGATGTATTAGCGCAAGGGAAGACACAGGATATTTTATTTATATGCATAGAATGTCTTCATTTATTATCTGTAAGATATTCAAATTGCCTTCGATTTCTTATAAAACAGATTGACAAGATTCGAAGAAGACAAAGATTTATGCTGAAAAATAAAGGGGCAGGGAACATACATAATGTTTATCAAAATTTGTTTTAATCCTTTTGTTGAAAAATGAAGAAGAATTTTTCTTTAACACTTGTTGAGCTTATCATTAAATTTAGAATTATTTGCAAGAAGAACAACCAGAGCATTTTTTTTAATTTTCTTTTTATTTTTCGTCTTTTGAGAGTTTTCAATGAATTTTCTTGTTTATTCTCACATCCTATAGTTTGGTAATAAATATTTTTATCAGCTTTATCTGTTTTCTCCGCATATTTATGAAAACTTCTTCAACCAAACTTAAATTATGTTTATGCAATATCGAATTAGTAAACAAGATAATATTGAGTTGGTGTGAAGAAACACTGGAAAAGAGGAAAAACTTATAAAATTTCTTTTCATCAATTGTTGGCAGTGTTGGGAGACCGCGCTTTATATTTCATTCTCTGCTTGGCTTACTTAATTTAGCGCATGGTAAAAGTTTTCAATTATTCGCTATGCAATTTGCTGAATCATTCACTATACCTTGCGGAATATCTTTTCACAGGACTCTTCTTCCTTTTTTTCAAGATTAACTAACTCCTTCGATGATCATCATTATCGATTGACCTTTTTTAACATTTATCTATGCAACTAAAATACATTCTAGTCTTTATCTTAGAATAAATAGTTGAATTTATGTGAGATCGAGATATCTATTAGAGTGATGACAGAATTATCTTTCATAAAATTCTTTGAGAAATTTTATATTGAAATAAAAATAACGCTCGTAATAATTTTGATGAGTTGAGATAAATAAAATTTTAAAGTTATTAAAAGAATCAAAAATCATTTTGCCGAATTATTCTCATTATGATTTTTATTTTTAACATTCATAATTTTCTATATTTTATGTTTTGTTGTTTATTTCATCTTCATTTATTAAGCGAAGAACCACAATTGTAAAAGTATTTGAAATTCAATTTTTCTGTTTCATTTCACTTATGAAACTGATATGTTAGTGAATGATGAATGTAAAACCGCACAATGAATTGCAAATATTTTTACAGTGGATCTCATTTTAAAGCACTTTTTCTTTATTTAATTTTCATCTATTTTAAAATCTTTTTAATTTGATATTTTGACTAAGTTTTGATTTAATATTTGGGGATTAAGATTCGCAAGACTTGAAAGTTTTATGTGTAGTAAATATTACCTAAGTTCCAATGATTTTAACTTCATTGTTAATATTCAATCACGAATAATGGATTTTTATAAAATGTCGTCACTTCTTTGAAAGGTTTTAGTTTTGGTGGTTTGAAGAAAGTTTAAAAATAGTGTTTTTTATCAGTAAAACATCAATCAAAGATTTGACCACAAAATTAAATAAGACTTGACTCAGCAGATATCTTCAATTTGATAATTTATAATTTTTTATCTATCTATAGAATTTTTCACTTAAAATTCAAAATTAATTCAAGTTTTGTAAACAAAAACTAAAAGGCGAATGCAAGCATTTGGGTCGTGATGACCTCAATCAAAGGTTTTTTTTTGGATTTTTATCATATTCAATTAAAGCAAAAGTCAGTTTTTTACTGTATGTGGCATTTCAATCATTAAATTTGAAAATTAAATAAAAACAGAAAAAACAAAATGTAGGTAAGTTTTATGTCGCCAACAGAATTTATAATTACCAAGGATTTAACATTTTCATTATTATTTTTATCAATATAAAACAATTGAGCTTGCCAATTTATGTGGCAGTTCCTCACACATTCATTTGAGTGACAACGAATTTTTTCTATAATAAATTTTCACTCAATTGCTGCTTTGAGATATCTTAATTGTACAATTTAAAGCTCTAAACACCCATTCCAATTATAATGTTTCTTTAATATTTAAAATATTAATGAGAATATAATTCTAAGATGAACGTGTTACAATAAACAATTATTTTTTATTTAAAGTAAACGAAACGTTTTATTGGTATGAGCAAGGGTATGAGAGAACCTGAATCATCGTTTGATGTAAGTAAGTGAAGGGATGACATTCGTTCATCTTTCGTTCTCACACTTATGGCGTCAGTTTTATACGATTCATTAAATATTTAGATCCAACATTTATATATCTATATCTTTATATGTATATCCTCTCATAAATTTTATTCATTATTATCTTCTTAATTAATTTACTTAATGGTCGTTCATATACTTTTGTTCTTAGATAGATATATAATCTTTTTTCTTGTCTTTAGCATAAGAATTTTCATTTCTCTCTTTTGCATAAGTTTCAATTGTGTGTGAAGTTGAATAACTCTGTTTTCATTTTGTCAAATAATTAATCTTCACAATATTTAATGACTTTGGAATATCAGATTTTGAAAAATAAATAAGAGCTTACAGAAAAAAGGAAAAGCACAGAAAATTTGGATTGCCGCAAAGCATGGAATATAATTTCGCAGTGTTATCAAATTCACATGTTTGGGATGAAATTGAGACAGTTCCTGAGGGCTTCGTTGTTACAACAATACATTCATTTTTCATAACGAAAATAAAAGAATGAAAAGGAAAATAAAATATTTATCAAAAATTTTCTGACTTTCAATGAGCTTTCAATGTTTAGAAAAAAAAAGAAAGGAAAAGATAATTTATTGTTGTTTAAATAAAATTTTAAAGTTAATTTCTGGCAGACTCCATCATTGTTCAAGCTTCGTTGTTGGGAGAAAATAATATCTCGAGATTTTATCTGGAATTGTGAACTGAATGCTTACACAAACATAATTAATTTTAATTAATTATACATTCAGATGTGAAACCATTGAAAGTTAAATGGATGCATATTGGTTCAATGATCGCTTCTCAGCCTTCTTCTACACAAGGATATAAGGAATAATGTGCGTTTTAACCATCGAAATAAACGTTTGCGATTATCGTCATTGTCTCTCAAAGCTTTTTGATGTCTAATTAAACACGGATACGAGCTATGAGCTACATCATGTAATCTAATGCATCATTAAACGCTTGCGTAAATGCGTGTTATTATCACGTCTACTATCATCTACACTAATGTCAAGTTATAAGAGTAGTCATTCCCCAAAAATGATGAAACGTGCTTTTAAACAGAACCATCAGTTGAATATGAATAAGTTTTGGAGTTTCAGTTAGCCTTCATCCAACGGTCAATTGAGTACTCAAGAGCGGCAATCCATCTGTGGAGAATGAAAAATGAAATGTTAATGTTGAACATTTTACTAAAATTGATTGTCATAAACAATAGTGGAAAGTCATTGAATACGATACCTTTTCTTATCCATTTCTGACTCAGTATGGAAATAATAATTTCGATATTTTGGTTCAGATGGCACAAGCTCAAAAGCATGCTTTTTACCGCCTGTTGCGAATGGTTGGACACGATAGCCCTGAAGGCACACCATGCCTATTTGTGTTTAGCAATGTGAGAAAAGAAAGAATAAACGAAATGAATTGCTGAAATATTGTGAGTTGATGTTATGTTTATTAAGTAAATATTGAGGCGCTGTCGGCACATTACTTCACAGTAAATTTAAGTGTCGCGGATCCCATCATAAAGTTAAGGAAAGTAATGCGAAGTGAAGAACATTTTTAATGTTTATGATGGACCTTTCAGATCATAAAACGAAACTTGGTGTCAGGGTTCAACAAACCAAAGTGTCACCTTCGTTCTTCTTTTTATCAGCATGACAATGATATGATGAGAAAAGGAAGGAAATCGATTTCTTTTTTAACATAGAACGATTTTTCGTTGGACAAAATCTGAAGAGCGAACGATTCACAAGTTTGCCTCAAAAACATTCCATTTCGTTCGATTCGCAATGAAAATAATTTTTATTGTTACTCACCAATTGCACTTTTACTGTTTGATTCGTGATAAAAGTACAAGCAAGCATCTCTCAACACGCAATAACGTTTCGTCCAAGAACGCCATCGTAATCCCAATTTCATAAGATAACCGACACAATCAGCACGTGCAATAGATTGAGGTGGAAGCTTCATATTTCGTGTAGCCATTTCAAGCCAAGGATCATTTTGTTCTGCTGCATGGCTCATGATTGCGACCCATCGATTAGCAGACTCTTCATTGTCTGCTGATAAATGAAGTGATTTTGATTCGGGAAATTCGATGGTGAAGGCAAATGGACGGTCGGTCTTATCACAAGGCAAAGTTTTAACAATGTGATTGGTGAGAAGAACAACACCAAGGGGTTGCACATCAGTCTCAGATTTATAGTAATACAGACATTGATCAGGATGAAAGCAGAACCATCTTCGTATCCACCGAGCATTTTCACCTTGTCCGGACTTTCGCCATAAGTGACCTGAATAAAGGGGATTCACTCTCATCGCCGATGGTTCATTTACTGGTGATAAAGCACCGATAGTTCTCGCTACTTCCAATTCCAAAGTGTCACTACCAGCATGTGCAATCTTAACGACTTCTGAGTGACTTTTATCGACAACCGAAACTCCATTTACTGAAAGAACGATGTCGCCAACTTCCAAGCCTGACGTCTCAGCTGGCGTATCTTTTTCAATTGCAGACACAACCACAGGTTTAGAACCATGAATTCGAAAACCAAATTCACCGGATATCCGTTGCACAATGACATGTTTGTCGGTGTCTGTAAATTTATTTAATTTAATTTATTTCTATATCTAATCGAAAGATTTTTCTTACCAAAAGAATTGCTGCTTTGTCTTCGATACATTTCAACACAAGACTTTCGATGAACCAGTCGATGTGTTATTGCTTGATACTTTTTACAGAAATCTTTTTCTGAATCCGTAGAATTATTTCTTTTATGTGTGTCAGCAAATCTCACTTCTTGTGCAACTTCAAACTTACGCCAAACATCACGATCAGCGATGCATAGCCAAGCGCCCATAGTGTAACCACCATGATAGATTCCTTGTTCAGGGTCGACACCATGATGGTCATGTCCGAAGGGCCCAACTGGAACCATACAGGGACTCGATCCAGCTCCACGCATTTTCGCTCTCAATTGATCGTCACTTCCCCGTTCTTCACTCTGTGGAAATTCAAAAGAAAAAATTCTAAAATTTCTCCTTAACATTAAACAAATAAATTTCGTGAAAAAGGCAAACGAACCTTTGCTCTCCCATTGTGCCCTTTTTTATGGCGTCTATCTTCAGCACGAAATCGCTTGTAATATTTGAGTGCAGGTGGAACCTTTGTCAAGCCATTAGGAGAGTCAGCAAATCCTTCAGGTGGCTGAACAATGTCTGGGCCATCGTCAACAATCACAACAGATTCTTCAGATCCATCAGCAACAGCAGTTACAACTTCAACTTCTTTACCACAGTGATGACAATGAATTTGATGTTCAAGAATGTCAGCTTCACTATAAAAAACTGAATCAGATCCAGGTGAGACTGAACGAAGCGATTCTGTAGAAATTGCTTTCAATCTTTGAACAGTTGACGACTTCTTTTGATGTTGAACAGGTTGAGCAAACATGCAAGGTTTCATCAACTTTGATGGACTCTCTTTCGATGGTAGTTGAAGTTTCTCAGGACTTTTTGAAGCTTTTGGACGATGAATTTTCTCGTCGCTACTAATCGGTGTTCGGTTACGTGGAGTTTTTCTTGTTTTCGGACGAAACCTTTTATGTTGCTTGCTTGGACTTGTGCCGTCGAGTATATTCATTAATGCTTTATCATCTGGCGATACTTTCTTAGTAGTTGTTGATGGTCGTGTAAATGGAGACATGCTCTGAGCCTTTGCTGCATCTTTATCGAATTCAAGTTTGAAATTTCCTTTCTTTCTTATTCGTTCATCTTCACTCCAGTCCCGTGAACGTCGAATTCTCATAGTTTTATAATCTTTTCCTTCGTGTGATGTTTGGAACATTTTTTCACTTCTTTCATCATCTGACATTGATTCTCTTTTACCTGTTTTACTTATAGCTTGAATAGGCTTTGAAAATGAAGTTCGAGGTGATGAAACTTTTAATGGTGGCACGCCGTAACTTCCCGACGATGTACTGCTTACAGAATGTGTTGGTGAACCTTTCGCTTTCTCGTCGACATCTTCACAAATTGCATCAACACGAGCGAGACTATGAAATGACGAAGCACTTTCGAATGATGATCCATCAATAGTCAATGTTTGCGAACTTTGAGCGGCTCCTGAGAGGGGATGGAAATGGGATTGTTAGTAAATAAATTACTCATGATTCACGAAAATCAACATAAAACTTCGTCTTCTGCCATCTACTAACATTGACGTTCACTAAATTTACAACAGACATAGACAAAAATGGCTTTGTTGAAATAAAGAACAGATCAGCAAAAATCTAAGAAACGCAGCATGTGGCAGATTTGAAATCTGTTTTGGCGGATAATCATTTGTTCCTAATTATTTTTTGAGGACAAGCACAGCAATCTAATTGTTGTCTTTCACTCATGAACCGAGACGTCAACCGTCTCTCTAGGGGAGATATTAATGGGAAAGCATGTAAAGAGAGTGTGTGGATAGGAAGGTGGATGATGAGACGAGAATAAAAAAAAAATTTCAGTAGCAATCAAACACATGTTTGTTTACACACATGACTACATCATTCGGCTTCAAGGAGTAAGAGAAACAAGTAAAAAGAAGCATATCTAAATCGTTCGAAATATGGAAAATTAAATATTCAGAGGAAAAATGAAGTAAAGCCATGAAATAAACATAAAAAGCAGATTCAGTTCTTTATTCATGTTAACCTGGTATTTGAGCGGTCGATGAGACTAAAGTTCCCTTAGCACTTGAAGCTTTTCTAATACCTGACACATGTTGTTGATGCATCATTCGTCTTGAATTGTCTGTACAAGTCACATAATCTTCTGTTGTACTCCCTTCTGACACATCAACGCGTCCAACTTCACCTTGATTCAATATCGATTCACTTGATGTTTTTACACTTGACTCAAGTGATTCATTTGACCTGATAAAACAAAGAAATTTAAGATTAAATATTCACAAATGGAATACATTAGCACTAATAAAACATGAGTGATTTCCTTGAAATGCTGAAACTTTCAATTGATATTTAGAGAAAAAAGAAACTTTTCATTATCTTCAATGTTTGGACGACATCGTTCTTTTTATAGGAAAAGAAAACTCCTAAAATGTTTCCGAAAGTCATTATCTATTTGAAGGAGACACAGACGATTCGTTGCTTCTTCTTTCATCTTGTCTGATTCATGAATTATTGATTTTCTTTTCGCTCTTCTGCTACATACATTTATGTTCATACTCATGTAGTTTGCTCAATCACAAAGTCATTTTGCTTTTCATCGGATAAGCTTTAACACACGTATCTCACCTATGAATTCTTTCGAGAGCCGTGTGTTTGCCTTTGTGTTGTAGACGCTTCTTAATATCTTTTCGTTTACTCGGCGATGTTGGCTTTGTGCGTTGCACCAAGTTGATTAAAGCTTTTTCTTCTTTTTCAATACTTTGAGTGTGAGTTACTGCTATCGATGGTGTTGGTTTGACGACTCCAGTTGGTGTTGTTGTTGATGATACCGACGTAGCTGGTTTTATCGTAGACAAACATGTGGTCTGTGTGGTGGTTGAGACAGTTGAGTTTAGAAAAAGTTCATTGTGAGGTTTATGTTGACTTGAAATTAATGGCTGCTGAACAATGGGTGGTAAAGGTGGTAGGGGCTGTTAGCAGAGAAGAAAGAAAAGAAGCACACATTGAATTCTATTAATAATCGAATTTCCTTCACGCATTCATTACACTACTTAGGAATGGAAAGGAATCTTATGTAATAAATCAATTTGTTGTTTGTATAAATAAATGTTTGTTTCTGGTATCTGATTTGTCAAATAATGTGCGATTCCATTTCATTTTACGACTAGGCAGCATTCGTATGGCAAAAAATTAAAGCACAAAAAATGTCACATGAGGCATTCTATTCTACCTTTTGTCGTTTTCGATATGAAGAATGAAAAAGTCAGACAGTAACACGACATATCAATGCATCAATGTCTTCGCAATGTAACATAAAACATCTCTTGAGTATTCGGGAAAAGATTGAGATATATTCGAAGGATTTATTCTTGAAAACGTTCAACGAGAATCGACTTCAGACGGGAAAAATTAAAAATAATTCTAATTAATTTTTTAGTGAATTGATTTCTGAAAATGCCAGATTTATTTTTCTTGACTCTTATGAGATTTAAAGAAGAAAATCTACTCAATGATTAGACTCCAATTCAATCAAAATCCTTGCGTATTTAACTTTTATTTGAAATTTAAGATTATAAAATTTCCACCTTCACGATTTCTAACAAATATATATTTAATTCTACTGAATTTGCAGCGACTTCTCGTAGATTATTTCATACTCACGATAAAGTTACATTTTTTCGCGTAATTTACAGAAATATTCAAAGAAACTTAAAATTCTGTTTCTATTGAAAGAAAATTAATCTTATGTTTCAATTTGCAATCTAAAAATATATTCAAGTAGCAATCGTTTCGAAAACTATAGAAACCGATTTAATTATCATAATTATTATGGCATATTTAAACAAATCCTTGAAATTCTCAAACATAAAATTTTGTAACCAAGAAAACGAATCTAAATCATGGTGTTATGAAAAGCTTTATTAATTCTGCTATTGTTGATCATAAAGTTCCCTGTTGAAAAGAAGCTTTTGATAAGAAGTGTTCTCTTCATATGCTGTTCTCTAGAGAATTTGAAAGAAATTTATTTCCTCTTATAAACGAAGCAGAAAATTCATCATAATCTTTACCGCTCGTTGCATTTTAATAAATTTTCAAGAATTCACCATCCTGTCTACAGTCAAGTAATGATTAATTTATTATATCTTTCTTCCTTCTCCGAGCACGTTTCGTTTTGCATCAATAAAATATAAATTAAAAAGTAGATCTACATCTAAGGAAGGAAAACGGAAAAACAATAAGAAAGGGTCTTGAATTGTAATCATTGTTATCACGTAGGTATGAAATTCTTATGTAACTTTTATCGTAAAAGTTAATGTTTTATGAAAGAAAAACCTTTCTCAATTGAGAACAATGATTTTTCAGTCATGAAAAATGCATTGCAACAACGCTATAATCTTTTAACACTGCTTTTGCAACCCAAAGCTAAAACTTTTACATGATATCTTAAAACCGCACTCATCTTGATAGTCTTTTAAGAGAAGTGAATTGGATTTATTGTGGACCTTGTTCCTTCATTGTTTTCGATATGCAAGAATCAGCTTTATGGATGAAGTAAAGTGAGAAATATGGAACAAAAAGGTACATACAAGCTTCTTAGCTTGTAATTTCTTCCAACCAGAAAACAACATAAATTATTATTACGACTCGAGTTGGAATTTAAAACAAATAAGCTTGAGGAAAATTCAAAAATCAAAAGAAATAAATTTGTTCTGGTTCGTAAAAAATCGAGTTGATCTCCACATTGATTGCCAAATATTATCCTAAGTTTTGAAATATTCAAATTAAATCCGCTGAGATAATTTTGCAAAAAGATTTTTTTTCTTCTAAAATATTGGAAACCTTGACTTGATCAACATTTTTTAATCAAAATTTTTATCTTTACATGTAAAATTTAAATTTTGCTCTCGCTCAAAGCACAAGCTTAAATATTTGATTTGGTTTGATAACATATTTTGCTGTTTTCTTAGTAAGAAATGAGATAATATGTCGTACTGTTCAATATACGAATTCGACATTACATAAATTTTGTATTCTATTTTATTCCTAAAATCTTCTTGCGGATCATGTGTACATAAATTTCATAAATTTGACAATGTAGATAGATTTGTTTTCATACTTCTCGGTAACTCAAAAAGAGATAAAATGAGAACATATTTTAGTAACATGTAAACATAGTAAAACATTCACTCAGGAATTAAATTCAATTTCATTCAACTTAGGAAAGTCACTACGAGTAAAACTTATTCATCACAAAATAATTAAACCAAAATATTGCAAAATGAAAGTTTGAAAAGCTTTTACTCCTTAAATTCTCTTGTTTTTGTTTGAGACAAACAAGGTAGACTTTGTACTAACAATTTCAGTAGGAAGTGCAAAGATAATTCTTGTTGAAAATTTCCATACGTTTGCTTTGAGATTGTAAAGAAACTCAAGCAGTTTGCTGATTCTGATGAAAAGATTAATTGAAAAGAGATGCTAATACAAATTTATTTTAAATTTTATAAGAAGCTCTTCTTTAGACATTAAGACCTTTCCTGCTCTTCCATGTTTTCAATTTAAATTTAGTCTGTAGGTATTTTAACTCTTTAAAAACACTTTCTTCATGCCAGAGTTTAAGCAACAAATAACGGAAGTGCCTGAGTAGAAAATTTCTTTTTATCAAGATTCAAGGATAATGAGGTATTCGTAAAAGTAAGTGAATTAACATTCTAAAGAAGGAAAAAAAGAGAAAAAGGGAAAGAATGAGATATACTTTCTTGTCTCCCCTTCCAGCTATTTTATGTCAGCGGAAAAAGATGAAAAAATATTCTAATTTCAATTCCGGAAAGTCACTGGATTGAATAATTATGTAAGAAACGAATCTCCTATACAAAAATAAAAGAAAACGGCAACAAAATTTTAAAAGGAAGTTTCATTGAAATGGTCTCCGAAAAATTCCCTCTGTGAATTTGTTTTGAAACGAAAGTTCCCCTCCATTAGTCGAAGTTTCCGGTGTTGAGTAGAGCGAAAATTTCCTCTGATTAATTTCAGAACAATGAAACATTTTTAATTCAAATTTTGTCGCCTTCAGCTGTTTTACTTGTGCCTAATTATTTAAAATTTTGTTGTTTGTCATGAGAATTGTTTGATTACATATCAAAAGCATCGAGAAATGAAATTAAAAAAAAAAAGTTCAGAGCAAAGTTGATGGGAAGGAAAATTTATAAGCAGAAATAAATTCTTTATTCTTTTTGCTAAGAATTTTTTAAAAAAGAAAATGTCAGCATGAATCTTACCATTCACATAAGAAGTATTTGCTAACAACGTGATTTCAAGCTTTATGGAATAAAATGGTCGTAATCTCTATGATTCTAACACAGCATGCATGAGAACATCGACAATGAAATACATAAAAGTTTTATTCATTTTGATATGTAGCATTCAATCATAGAGTTTTCCTTCTATATCTATCAATCCTTCTGACAAAGTGATTCTCTCCTCCTACTATAAAATGATGGATTAGTGCTTTCATATTTCTACTTAATTGATTGTTAAGCTTTGTGTGTGGAATTCTTTACATCTCAGCATTGCCATAACTATGTACTTGCGTTTCATAACAACAAATTTCTTTTTATTTCAAAAAGTTTCAGTTTTCTAACTCTCTTGTGTATTCTCTTGTGAAATACAAAAAAAAGAACTTCGACTAAAGTTCTCTAACATGAATTTTAAGTAATAAAAATACAGGAAATTTTTATTTTTGTTGAATAAAATGTACAACAATTTTAAAAGTTCTCAACTAAAAGCTTTATAGAGACAATTTGATGCGCTAAATTTAAGTTATAAAAAGTTATGCAGGAAAAATTCACACAATAGTTGAAGCTTTTTTGACTTAACTTTTCGGTCGTGCAATTTCAAAGCTACAAACTTCAGGTCATTTCTCGTTTTTACCATGAAATAAAGTGAGATTCAAATAACAAATTTCCTCTTATCGTCTTTTAACAATTGACTTAATGGTGGAATAAAAAAACGATTTATCAAAAACTTTCCTTTATGAGCATATTCAGTTCATTGTGGTTCAGGGATATACGAATGAAAATTGAACGTTTTTGAGAAAGAAAAATATCCCATTTCCCCATTAATGCTGCATCAGACATAATTTTTACCACTTCAAAGTGATAGATGCTTTTGCCTCAATTTCCGTTTTACCTGCCAACAGAGTGGAAAGCTTTTTAAAATATTGAAAGCTTAAAGTCACAGAGTAGATTGATTTAAATTTAAATTACAGATGAAGTTGACTGTATAAATTAGAAATATTTTATTTTTTCTTTCTCCTTTTTCAATCTCTTTTCATTTAGTTCTAAATTTCGTTGTCTCGGGGAGAAAATCAATAAGCAGCGCTTTCTTCATCCAATGAAGTGAATAATCTTTCAAATTACAGAAGCTTTATTTACGCACAATACGAGATTTTAGGCAAACAAATCGAAATCAGAAAATTATGAGCAACATGATAATGGAATCAATTTGAATATAAATCGTTCGGCTATGATTGATGAAAAAGTTTTATTCATTCTCACCTGATCGGCCATATCTTCAACGTCGAGTGCTTCAATGTCTAACGAACTTCGCTGTTGATGGATAAGATGTTTGCGTTTTGTTGATGGCGTTAAATGTGATGTTATGAAATCGGGTGGGCTGATTAAAATTAAAAAAGAAGAAAATAAATTTTACATCATAAATTTATAAAAAAATGAAGTCCATTGTTAAGTAAATTAATATTTACCTTGGTGGACGGGGAAGTACTGTCGCTTGCGACTCATTCCAGTGACCTTCAGAATGGTCCCGTGTTACATCATCACTTGATGCAAACAAAGATCTTCCATCATCAGCACCAGGGGAACTAGGTGATGATTTGTTCGCCTTTAAACCCAAACTTGACTTTTTTATTATCATATCATCAGCAAGTGGATCTTCCAAGCTGACAGAACTTTTCCTTAATGTCTCTCTGCTATATCTTCTAGCAGTTGCACTGACATCAGGTGGCATGTTCAAAAAATTATCAACTTTGAAAACATCTTCGTCACGAATGGGCGTGTCAGCGTAGTTGAGATTCTTCTTCGAGTAATAAGTTGGCGGTGGTTGTTGGTTTAGATCTTCATCACTTGCTGAGTGAATTGGAAATTGTGTGGTGTTTTTTCCAGCATCATCTAGAAGAATTTCCCCTTCTGACATCGCTTTTGTTAGTTTTTTCTTTCTCTTTGTCGTTGATACATTGCTCAGTGTAGGCGACAAACGTGGCTTAAAATCGATAAAAATTTCTTTCTCCTCCCGCTCATCATCTAACTCTGTTTCACTTCCGCTCGCTTCTTCACCTTCTTCATCACCTTCTTCTTCTTCTTCATTACCTTCCGTACTTGATTCTGTTTCGGAGGAGCAGGTTGAACACAGTTCTTCGGATGGTGGTACTACTTGTTGTTGCAGCTGTTGCTGTTGATGTTGATGCTGATGTTGATGTAAATTAATTGAATGTGATGGCACCTGTTGGTGTTGGTGATGATTCGAACTACGACGAGACAGAGAATATGTATCAGGCATGACAACATTTACATTGACATAAGGTGACTGCGCGTCTTGGTATGATGTCGACAGCCGTCGCTTTCCATCAGTTGGCACCATCTGTTCTGGAATGTTGCCATTTGACATTTTGATATCATTATGCTCATGGAAATAATGATGATGATGTTCGCGACGTGGTAAACTGTGCGTATGATATTCTTCCGACGTATGATGAATACATGTTCGACGCGGCAAACTGTGCGATTCGAAATCATAAACATTTTGACCACTGCGTGGTACGCGCATCTTTTCCAATTCATTTCGTCCGATGAAGATTGGTTCGGTTTGAAGTGTATGACTGGCCCGCCTTGAAATCATAAGATTATCTTGTGAATTCAATGAACTACTGTTATCATAAGAAGCTTTAGAAAAGTTTGTGTCTGGCGATCGATACGTGTTTGCACTGTCATGTGAATGATATGAATCGATGAAGAAGTTATCGGTTGACATCGTGTCACTACGTGAAGTTTCTAATTGACTTTGTCTTGATGATGTGCGTGAATGAATTTCAGCTGTTGTCATCATATAGCCACTCGATGGTTTTATGTATGACATGTCTAAAGGCGATTTGGGAGAATCTTCCGATTGGGTGCGACAAAGAAATTCATGATCGTGTGGACTGGCGATGTGTAAACGTGGAAATAGAATGAAATGAGATGTAAGATAGAATAGTGAGTTACGATTCAATAAAATGATTGTCTAGGAGACACCAAGAATTTGTGTATGACCTTTATGCTTTCCTATGACATAACTCAAATTAATGTTTCAACATTTCATCCTTAGATGTTTTATGATTTAATGTTAGAAAGGAGAATAGAAATTTATGTGACCTTACATGCATGAAAATCCAATTCAAAATAATAAAAGAAATCTTTACCCTCGTTCATCTTCGTATTGGCATCCAGCATCTACTCCAGATCCCATCTCTGAAAAGCTTTTAGTGAGTTTTTTGCCATTCATTCCATTTGTTTGAGCACCTTGTGATACCATTATGACCTGAAACGGAAAAAGAAAAAGAATAAAATCAATTATTAAAACATGACGAGACGAATTTTATTTTTCAAGTTGTTTTATTCATTAAAAAGAAAAATGTTATGAAATGTTTCTCAATGTTAGAATTTTGATACTTTTGAAGCATATCAAGTGATAAAATAAAACAAATACATAAAACTTTTCCAAACTAATAGATCCAATAAATGCTTAGTCATTACTTTCTTGAATAAACTTTATCGTTCATAAAATGGGGGAAATATTTTTTGTTTTTATTCATCAAGAGATTTGGAAGTTATCCCATTCATTAGGTTTATCAATAAAGCAACCTTAAAAACTAAAAGTTGAATTCGTTCAAGCATAAACATTTCAAAAACTGAGGAAGTATCTAGTGATGGCCAATTTGTACATCTTGAATCATATGCTTTCCAAACTTTAATATAGTTTTCCTTTTTCATCTCTAATTTTCAGGTGTTACTAACGTTTAAAGGAAAATGTCTCCCAACTCTAGACAGTGCAATAAAATTTTGATTTCCCAAAAGACTTTTCATGAAATTAATTTTTGCTTGCTTGCTATTTAAGTGGCTAGGGAAAAGACGGAAAAGTTGTCACCTGCAGCTCTTTTTCTTTTTCAGGCAAAGTTGAAAAAATATGTTTGCAATTTACCGTCGTGGCAGTTATGATGAATTATTAGATGTAATAAAATTAGAAGCAAGTTTCACGGTTCTGTGTTTAAGTTTGATATAAAATACGACTTCTGCTCGTCTGCTAAATATTACAAATGACACAAAAGATCTTTTTTATAGCTACCCAACGATACAATGTGTTAATACTTATGTCAAGATTAAAAACACTTTGTTTAGTAACCCAACGCCAACTATTTGTTTACGTGAAATAGAAAATTCTTTGAAATTTTATTTAATTATGTATTTCAAAATGTTGATATCGTCATTGTGAAAAGCACATACACTTATTTCTTCTGAGTTTATATAGGTTGATCCGACTGGAGAAATGAGAAAGGAAAATAATTGCTTGAAGGGTGAAAGGAAAAGCTTTTCAAGTTTCAAATGGCGAAAGTCTTTATTTGATATAATTTATCGATTTTTATTGAAATATTCATAAAAAGAGTTGAAACCTTGAAGTTTTAATATCTTATTGTGTTAAAAGTGGAAAAATATGTTTTGAATTAGGAGGGAATATCATTAAAGAGCTTAGTTGATGTTCATTGTGAACGTCGGAGAAAGTTGAGACTAATTTTGTGACCCTAACGAAGACCTTTAGCCATTAATATTTCTCATCATCGCAATAATTAAAAGGATCTCACATTTATGATATGTTCATAAAAACGTTCAAGTTATAGCGGATGGAAGTGAAAGAAAAAAAATAAAGAAACGAAAGTAAGTGGTCTTAAAGTACACAAAAATTCATAAATAATGTGAAACTATCAGAAAGCTTTAGAGCATAACAAAGGAGAGGAAAGCAAATTGAGGGTTGTGGGATGTTTACATCTTTTCCCCTGATACATGAAATACGATATTTAATAGCTTTTTCAAACAACCAAAAGCTTTCATCGTAAAGTAATATGCTTTCCGCTCAGTCACTAGTAACAACAACATTTTGGAAGCGACGAATTGAAAGAACAGAAAAAGAAAAATAAATAGAAGCAAGAAAAAAATCTGTAGCATGTAAATTTTTTATGGTCACATAAATCTTTCATATGAAAATGAATATTTCATTTCTTTATGATATCAAACAAACACACTCCCACGAATCTGTCCGTATCTATGTACACATAGATGAAGAAATATATAAAGAGAAGCCTTTACTACCAGACATTTTTCTTTGTGGCCGTCACACAACCATAAAATTAATAACGAAGAATATTTTTTAAGTAAATAAGATTGATGGCTGGAAGGAGAGGGTAAGACAAGAAAACCACTGAGATCTTGAAGAATGAAAGTTTCAATTAAGTACTTGACTTGAAGAATAATTTTAAATCATGTCTCAAAAAAGAAAATATTCAAGATCAAGCGACTCATTGTCTTGTGAATTTGTGATACCCGTCAAGACCCTTATCAAGCACTTGGATTTCATTTTTCCTTCTTTCTAAGTGAGTAAAAGAGAAAGTGGAATTTACATGTAAATTCTCAAAGCTGTGAATGTTGAAATAAAGAATTTCTAAGGCGCAATCGATGAAATATTCATGCACAACTCGAGCGTTGCTGTTTCATCGTCAATTTTTGGTTCTACTTACTGCTTCACAATCTCTTAGGAAAAAGCGAAGATATCAACAAAAAATGAAAAAAAAAGAGTCTTTCGTCTCATAAAAATCCTTAATAGCAACAAGGAGGGCCAAAATAAGTACATCAGATGTCTCGCTCGGAGGCCTCGCATAAAATTCCTTCCAGATTATGATTGAGACGCAAGTGAAAATATTAAGCGAAAATTTCATGCATTTATGACTTCACCCCAAAGCACACATGGAAAGCAAATAAATTGAATCATCCGCGTAATTTCAGGCTTTTTAAGCTGATTTTTATAAGAAGGAAAATTTTCTTATTTTGGTTGCGTTATTGCTTACTCTGGAGCATCCTCAAAATTTTATTTTATGTCTTATTTATACATCGAATATCAATTTATTTTGTGTTCGTCTTAATATTTCTGTCGAATTTGATCAAACATGAGAATGACATGAATGCGAATTGGTTCGATTGGAGGGGTAGGTGGAGTGAACTCAACGCCAAATTGTGCAAGACGTAAAACGCTTTTTTTTTGTGATGTTTCAAAATTTATTCATGCAAATTGTTCTTCTTCACTTGATGCCTCTTTATGAACAATAATTTGAACGGTATTTTATTATACGTCAATAAATTTGGTGTTTATATTGTTCCTTCTCAAGCAACCTTTAAATGAGCTCTTTTCACTTTGCCCATTATGACAAACACACAGAAACATGAAGTAAACTCAATTCAAGTAATGTTTTAAATATTTAGATTCACGCTAAAAGCTTTGCTTCATACAAGGTAAAGGGAACAATACACATTAAATAATAATGTGAGCATATTCAAAAGAAACTCTTTTTTCACTCCTTTAAGAATAAACAAGAAGAAATGTATGTGAAATCTGTGCACAATTGTTAATAAACAAAAAAGAAAAAAGACAAAGATAACAAAATTAGCCATAAAATTAAATCTTATACTTTTGTTACACACTTTATGCCTTCTTTTCAAATATAATGTCAGGGACACATGTTTACGACTTCTTTTCTGATAAAACTAAAAGTATTAAAAAGAAATCATAAGTAATAATGAATTTTTTTCGTTTTCCAATATATAAATGTGTGGGTGGATAATAGCTTGCCAAACTTCTAAATGACTTCAAGAACCCAAAGTGTAGATAACGATTTTAAATTTTCTAAATCAGATTGGAATCTTAGATAGATACTTCGACGATAAGAATTTTTTGTTTAACTTTCCTTGGCAAGTTTTAAGTGCTTTGAGAAAGTTTTATTAGAGAAGAAGACAGCATCAACAAGAAAAGTAATAAAAGTTTAGAATTTATAGTCTTCAGACGAACCAGACACATTAAATAGCCGTCATTTGTTTGAAACATCTTTTAAATTACGCAAAAATCTTATTAATCTTATTTAGCTTTCTCGGTATGTACACAAGGCTGTAACCATTATTCAGCTAAATTTTAGTAGCTATGAAAATAGAAAATTCTATTTGTTTGAATAAAGGAAAATGAGAGGATTCTGTCAAAATAACTGTAAATGGAGAAAAACATTCCATTTGATATCGTTAAGATTCTCAATGATGAGTCGTTTTGCTGGCGTTTAAAAATAGAGAAGAATTTTGTCTAATTTCGAACGAAAGCTTTCGAAATCAGCCTTTCAGATTTATTGTTGACATTAACAGCAGAAGGTACGTGGTCGTTTATGTCTTAATCGCCCTCATTGTATAGTAATTCTTGGGTTTGTCCTTGAAGCAAAAATATCTCAGATTTGTAGTCGTATAATTTTGTGCCGTCATTATTTTTAAGCCTGTTTCTGTTTCTGCTTGTATTGTTATCTTATTTCTTCAAGGCTTAAATTCGTGTTTCAAAAGCATTTTATTCAATGAAGCATTTAATTCTTAAAGCTTCAACATAACAACAATCATCTCTCTAGGCTTTCACATGTGAATTCAAGTCGAAATTACTTATTTAAAATTCCCCTTGAGCATGTTAAATTAGTTTTTAAGTAACATAATGAAGAAATTTATGATGACTCAAATACGACGACTATGTAGTCGACTAAAATTTCAGTCAGAGTAGAGCGAAATTGTTTGAAATTCAAGCAAAACAAAACAGAATAGTTGCTGTTAAAACAGTGAACAAGCCACAATTCTCTTAAATAATGAATATAAACTCAGAGCTTGCACGAATATTTTTTCTTCTCAAGCACCTAGTGAAGCATAGCAAAGTAAAATCATTGAATCAAAACTTACCCTTTGTATTGTTCGTGGACTAAGGGATAATGTGTGTGACGTATTTTGTTTTCCTCCTAAAAATAGTTCGGTTTGTGTTGCTTGAGTTTTCATTACATTCCTCTTCTGCTTTTCTACACTGTATGCTTCAAAAGATTGTTGGTTTTGCGACTGCATAAGATGTGGCTGTGAAAATGTTTGTTGCAGCTGTGGCTTTTGTAAAATTGTTTGCATCTGAATCATTGGCATTTGTTGTAGGTGAGCTGGCTGTTGAGTTATTGTAATTGTTGGCTTCTTTCCACCAATTAATCTTTCCTGACTTCTTGCATTAAACATTTGATTTCCTGGCCGCATTCCAATAGCATCATCAAAGGAAGCAAGAGTTAATGAACGTGCAAAGCTAACATGTTTTGTTCTGAAAATAGCAACAAATAAATATCTGATTAAACAAATTGATGTTACAAGTAACAAAACGTGTCATAATTTTTAAAAGATTTCTGTTGTCACAAAAAGTAAGAAAAAACTCCTAAAATGAAATAAATTGAAAAAGTTGGAAAAGCATGTGGTGCTAAAGAGAATAAAACGCACATTTTTAGACCCAAGTTCAGGCCAATAAAAATTACGACACTGAGCCGATGTCATTAGGTGGGATTTATGACGATATATAGCATCCTGAAAACAAAATATTTCTGCTATATCTACTTCAGTTGTTAATGCGAAACCAGAAAGCTTCTGTCAAAATTGATTCTTTCTCTCTTTTACCACAACCACAAATTAAATTCTGCGAAGCTTAGGAAGGTCAAGAATATTTCATATTTTTTATTTCTTTTTATCACCCTGTGAGCCGTGAAGAAACGAAGGAAAGAAAACGCCATAACCGATCCCAAAAATTAGCATGAAATTTTCTTTTATAAAACAATAAGGAAGTTTGCATAATCAACACTGGGTGTTAATTCTGTGCTGAAAAAAGGGATTAAAAATTGATGAATTTTTAGGCACTTTCACTGTTCAAAAATATTTTTTCATAAACAGCATTAAATTTCAAGAGGAAAATTACTGCGTCATAAAACATTTTCAATTAGCTCGCATCAAGAATTAAGTTATTTCAGTTTCCTTTTCATTTTCATCAGATAAAACTTCTGTCACATAACTCAAGAAATGCTAAATTATTTAAATAGATTTATGTTCCAGAAGGAAAAGAAACAAGTCGTAAAACGAAGTTTCTTTCGGTAGATATTTACAATCTCTAAATGTTTCTAGGAATAGAGCATTTGATACATTCGCAGTGTTGATGATACAATTCATTCAGACAGTTTCAGTTTGTTGTTTCAATTAGAAACGCTCAAGATGAAAATGAAGGGAAAGAAAGCTTTATATGTAGGTTGAACTGAATGCTTATTTTAAGATAAATGATAAATAAAACTTGAAGGCAATAAATTAACAACATTAATGAAATGTGTCAAGAAAAATTCGAAAATGAACTAATCAGGTGAATACTCATACTTGAAAACTTTGTAACTTTATGACTTTGTTTAGAAAGAACGTGATGAAACTTATAACTGAACATCAACAAAAAAAAGTATATCAAATTGATTGTAATAAGCATATCCTAATGATGTATTACCAACCACGTCAGCTGTAGTCGAAAAGCTCAAAAATAACTCGTAATGCTAAAATCTGAATCGTGACATGACTAAGTAAGAAGATTTCTTCTTCACTTCGTTTGTCTTATTTTTATTACTTAATTTAGATTTGTTTCAAGTAGATTTCTTAGAAGAGAAATTCGAAAGAAAAAGACTTTCTTTAAATATTTAAAATGTAAATCAGCACAAGTTGAAACACTTCTAGAATTGTAAAGAATCAGTGCTAATTGAAATGAATTTCAAATCAGAAACTTGAAGATAAACCAATAAAAAATCAATATTCTCAAAGAAATGTCTGCATTCTCATCTGCAGCGTAAGTTTTTGGTCTAATCGTCAATAAATATGTCTGAAACTTGATTTTAAATTAAGTGGTTATCTCATATCTAGAGAATTATTCTAAACCGCGGCTTGGTCAGAAAATCCTCTGATGTCTTAACAACTTCTTAGTACTTATGACCATTTTGTGGTAGTAATGCATGGAGACCATTCCATCATTAAAAGTTAGACAAGTCTTGCGAGATGTCACAATTAATTGTGCATTTGAAATGTTCATCCTAATGTCCCTTTATTTTATTTGAATTGCTGAATGATGTCTATAAAAAGAAGCTTGTCTGTTCCTTATTTGGAAGAAATAAAATAAATGTTCAATAATTCAGTAGGTTTATGAATAAATTGAGAGACGAATTGTAGCAAATTTTTTTGCCGCCATTGTCAATTTTATTGCTGATTCTCGGAGAAAAGCTTTTGTTCATAGCTTAGATTCTTTTATTTGACAATAACGATAGAAATAAATGACATCGCTCTTTCGACTCTTCATTCCAGAAATAAAATAAAAGAATAATATAATTCTTGTTCCTCTTGAAATAAAGCTTAAGAAGAGGCGCTTGTAGAAAATTAGTTGTACGTGTCACGTAATTGTGAGTGTAATGCCGGAGACATTAAAGAATGCCAGAAGAGGCACACATTACGTACACAAAAAAAGCAGAATGATATGAATGGAAGATCATTTGACTGCGAGCCGTTTCATTACTCTCATAAAATTTACGAACAGTCTAGCAGACATCAAGAAAGGAATTCTCATTGTGATTCCTGATCATAGATAAAGTATCTAAGGTCATTCATTGAACCATATGAGTTCTCTACACTTATTCTGATGATTTATAATTAATTTCTTAAAGTTGTTGAACTCTTTATCTTGAACATTCTGCTTTTATGAACAAAGCAGAAAAGGGAAAATAAAATTAGATTTCTTCGTTCATTTCATTTTGCCGTTTTATTTATTGTGTTAATATTTTATTTATCTTTGTTCGTTTGTATGTGCAAATCATTTATATTTAATTAAACATCCATGTGCTATGAATGATTAAAGGAAAACTCGATGAAAGTATCTGTAATGCATAATGATATATCATTTGATTTCAATGGTGTCGCATGAAACTGTCCGGGTCAAAATCCGAATTGGTGAAATAGATGGAAAAGGTAGGAGAACTGATGCTATTATAGTTAATCATGTCCGTTCCATTAAGAAATAAGATAACGGAAGAGTAAACTTCTGACTGGAAGTTATTTCCGTTAACGGAAAACAGAAAGTTTTTTCCGTTTACAACTTTCTCATTCACGTCTCTTTAATATTCTGAAATTTCTTCCGTCGTTTTAAAATCTAGACTCAATTTTGTCGAGTGAATATGAACTCAGGGAATTTGTTAAATGTAATTTAAATTGAAATGATGTTCTTTCTGCTATTTATTTTTCATGGACAAAATGCAAAATGTTTCACTAATTTATTCAATTTTTGTTGCGGAAATATCTCGTTTAATAAATGTTACAGATTTAGATTCAACGCTTCAGGGACTTATTTAACAGTTTGTAGAATTGTGTGAATAGGATAAGCAAAGTTAATAGTTTTCTTGTTTCCTTAAGTCAATAAATTTCCTACTTCAAAACTTTTCTCGGCCATGTTTTAATTTCTTCTACTTCGAATTAATTTAGATAAGATTTAATTAAGTTTTAACTTTGAAGTAAAATAAATTCGGAAGACAAAATAAATTTGAAATTTTGTTAAAACATTCCATGCATAAAACAAAAATCAAAAGTTTTATGAACATCCAAGAAAGTTGTTTGTTTACTCTCGTTACAATATTAACTCGAAAATGAAACCAGTTAATAAAATTCTGCATGACTTTAAGCTTCTTTGTTTACGGTTTGGGTAAAAATTTTCATTTTTTAACATTTGAATTTTAATCGGTTAATAATTCTGAGTTAAATTTTTTATCGTTTTATCGTTTCAGTGAATTAAAATAACAATAATAATGATCAAGCATACAAAAGTATCATATGGTTTAACATGAAACGATAACTCCAACAAAAACACTTCTTCCCATCTTGACTGTAAAAGAACAGAAAAACTTCCTAAAGCGATTTGAACAAACAACTTCAAAAACATTCTCAAGCACTTACGCGTATATTTCGAAACGTTTGTTTGGAACATTGAGCAAATTTTCACTTTTCCACTAAGCAATTCCTTAAATAATGAAGAAACTTGAATACTCTTCATCACAAACTTCCTTAATAAGAAACAAAGATAATTACATAACGTCGACCACAAATCTTCTTCTATCTTTCAAAGTCAGAGAAGAGAAACTTTTTTTTATTATATAACGATGATGCGTGCAGCTTTAACATTTTAATGTGAAAAGTTACAGCTGAATAGTTGTCTTAAAGTCAATTGACTTTAACAGTACTTTAATTCTTTGAGTGTTTCAATATAAAAGAAAATATTTACTTGAAGTTTAGAAAACTGAAGAAGCCAATGACGTAGTTTTATTCTGAGAGCTCTAAAATAAATTGAAACAATGCAAGGTGCTCTATCATCAACCTTTTAAACATTTATATCTCTTCCATCGAGAGCGAGACCGAGCATTTCTCTACAAATTTTTCTTCAAGTATGCGCTCGTCTGTAGAGAAGTTTTAAATTCAAACAAATTTATCAAAACATTTTTTATGTTTATAACTCGTATCGTCGCATCTTTCTGCATTCATATCTTTTCGTAAGTCTCTTTATAATCCACGCTAGTTAGAAATTAATTATATCGCAAGTAGAAAGCTTTTACTCTTAATTAATTTTTTTATTAAAGTAAATAATTCTGTGAATGCTGTAAGTGACTCTCCGTATCTTAATTATTATAGAAATTTAAAGAATTTTTGTGTAGGGATGTGTTACAAAGAATTTCAAGTAGAAAAACACTCTGAGGCACGAAATATTCATAAATTATGATGTATGTTAAGTATTTGCGTATGAAAATTTTAATTTTGCGTATTTTATGGTAAATATTAAGTTGTACAGGAAATTAAGTTGAAGTTTGTTTGAGTTTTACACATATCAATTACTTTGTTCGTTCCACAATGTTGAAATAAAAGGAAGCAATTGAATTCTTTATGATTCTGAGTTAAACAAATATAGATAGAAGGAAGAGGATTAAATTCAGTACTAAGAAGCTTTTACATGTGACATTATAATCACTGAAGCTGTCACAGAACGTTTAAGTAAAGTGTATGACATACCAATCCCAGATACAAATAACATAACTTTGCTTCAAAAACAACAATGACAAGGAAGAAGAACTCGGAAGAACATAATTTAAGCTCACAATCTTTTTATTTTCGTTTTCTTTGCAGTTACTTCCATTTTTCTAGGTCATAAATAATTCAGAAACAGCATAAGATACGCCACGAAAGTGAAGCATAAAAGATCCTTCCTTTGCTTACAACAGGCGTAAAATTAATAGAAATTCCAAGTCAGGAAACGAAAAGTGCGAAAAAAGAAGCTGAGTAAGAAGATGGATTTGAAAAACAAAAACAAAAGAATAAAATTTGTTAAATTGACTTGAAGCATTGTGGAGCGAAAGTAATGTAAGATATTCGGATCAAGCTATTAGCATTAATATTAAAATTAATGAAGGCTGAATTATTATTTACGACGTCGTTATATTTTTAATCTGAGAATATCTGACAAATATCTTTACAGTTAAGGTTCATACGCAGGGACTGCAAAAGGAACAAAAAATTGTTTCTAAGCTTTAAAGCTCCGGAAATTTCAAAATTATTATCTCCAGTTTAATGATTATGTAAATAATTCAAAACTTCGAATTGAACTCGATGTTTGGGTTTTAGATAATCTTCGAAAATGAACAATTAGAATCACCCAAACTTTTGATGATGGAATGAAAAGCGTAGCTCTGAATAATGAATTTGATTTCATCCCACGTCGTAGAATATTCTCTTTCTTGGAACTTGAATAATAACATTCAACAGTTAGATACATTAAATTATTTAAACTTAAAATTTACGAATGTGTGGAAACGTGGTTTAAAAGCTGTCATGACGATTTTCAAGCTAGGGGGAGGAAAGAACTCTGATGTTCAAAGCTTATTTAAATAACAGAAAAAATCTAAATTTATATCTGCACCATTAACTTGATTGCTTCTTCCAAAGCATGTCGTTAGAAGAGAGAAATGGAATATCTACTGGAAACTCTATGTTTAAGAAAACTATTATCTTCTTCATTTTATGCCTTGTACTTAATCATTTAAATAAAAGATTTCAATTTCAACAACTTCAAATATTGAAGGATTTCTCCTACATGAAAATAATAATTGGAAAATGTTTTCCTACCTTGGTGGCATATCCTGATGTGTTGTTAAAGAATTTGTCGTCGGAAGATTAATGTGTGCTGGACAACGATACCTGAAATGAGATACATAATAAATTACATTAAAATTAATGTGCTTGTCTTTTAATTAAGCAAATAAGAGATCATAATGGATAACATTTTGTAATCATTTCGAATTCAATGTTAACTCACTGGTTATGTCAGAACAGTGACATACATTAAAAGGTGTTGTTACCCAATATAGTTTGGAGTAAACATTAAATTTTAAAACATTTCTTTAGCTTTTGGAGATGAAAGGGAAATTTGACATCAAGCAGGAAGTAATTTAGGTTTTATGTTGCAACCTCTGGATGTTAAGAGAATAATCGCAATTTTGCAACTTTTCTCTACATTATTACGTCAACTTTTATCAAGAGAGTTGTAAATTTACTTTACTCGAAAATTTATGTTTGACCTTACCCCGTAATTTGTTCGCTGCTTTGGCTAAGAAATGAAGATTTTGGTGGATAGGAACCAACAACATATGGTCCACCATTGTGGATTGGGCGCGAACCTTCCATTCGCACCGATTCATCATCGGGTACCATCCATGTGTAACGTTTCACGTCGTTACTATTCAGAAATGATGTCGGTTTTCTTCGAAAATATGTGCTGTCCAAATCGTCATCGTCATAGCTGGTGGGCTTTTGATATCTAAAGTGTGGGAGTGGTTGGAAAACAAAAACATAAAAATAAAATAAATAAAAAGTATAAAACATAACTAAAATGAGTCACTAACACATGGTAAATTCAATGCTTAGACCGGAAGGTTTTTTCAACATTCAACATGGCTCTTAAAAGTGCTTTTACCACCGCTCATGCGGAATTTAGAACAAATTCATGCATCAGCAGACAGAGATGAAAGTTTTATAGACTGTGTGTTGAAAACACAGGGATTTTCTGGCCATCTGCACCATATGGGTGTTAAATATTTAATTCTTCATACCTTGGATGTCGGTTAATTGGAGCGTAATCTTGTAAATTTTCATCTGATGGTGCCCTTCGTCCTACACACACGCCGAGAAACGACTGTTGACTTCGATTTGACCAACAACCAAAGAATTTTTCACGACGTGGTGCTTCAATTGAATTGTTAAGTTGACGGTCTGTTAAACAATATTGATCGATGATGTCCTCTTTTGAGTATATTGAAGGCTTTATGCTAAAAGGACTTTGCTGCCGTCCCTTCAGTCTTCCCATGTTTTCATCCTCTGATTCGTAATTTCTTGCCGCTAAATTAAAATTCGTCTGATGGAGAAACAATTCTTAGTATCATGGATAAGTGTAGGAAAATATTTATTTTAATGCTACCTGAGATGGCGCTTCAATATTCCCTAAGGAAACTGCATGGTGTAAACCTTCAAAGAAAAGAAAGGAGATATTCTCAATGAAATGATTGCAAGAGAAAGAGAAATGGATGTGAAATATTTATTTAAATGGCGAGAACTGAAGCAGAACAAACTCTTCAGTAACAGCTACGACAATAATAATGACACAAAATTGGAAAAGTTTTTCATTTTGTCTGCCCTTCTAGCAGTCTTTGAATGTAATTTATGCTCGACAGAGAACGTTAAATATATCAATCCCTTCAAGCGAAAATGCTTCTCGCTCGAAAGCATAGTGATCATGTTGAAGGAGAAAAGCCTTTCATTGAATTTATGCTAAATTTAATAGATCATGTGGGGGTTACAAAGTAAACTTTCTTAAAGATAAAATCAATCAACCAAATAAAAGTATTGGTTGTTTTAAGAAGACACAAAACTCTCAAAAGGTTCAAGCATTTAAAGCCCCGATACGAAACAAATTGAATAAAGCGAAAACGAAATTCAATATGTTGCTTCTTCATAATCAATCAGACGTATGTTTCAAAGACCCAGAAACCCTTTCTAATGTTTATTCAGTTGAGTGCTTTTTTCAGTATTAAGAGTCTATTGAACACTGTCGAGGTTTCATTTCTTCAAAAGGCTAAAGAGGCTAAGAACTGCCCGTTCGACATTTATTTTTAGAATTTCCTTTTTTTACCGAATTCTTAATGAACAAAAGTTCATTTTCGATGCTGAGAGCAGCGATAAATTTTGTTCAAGAGTCCCGAAAAAATTCGGGTTTTGTTTGTGTATTAAGTAGCAGATAACGTCTGTAAAAATTATTTTAGCTGCCAAAGAAGGACGACTTTTCTATTTTATTGCTTTGCTCGACCTACTTATCAACTCACACTCTCGACGTAAGAGCAAACTGAAGAGCTTTTGATCAAACAACCCACTTCAGTCTTCACTGCAATGAACAACATCAAAGAGATCCTCGCGGCAGCATGAAATGTAACAATTTTGAACAAATCCTAATTTAGGCCTGGAGTTATTATTTAACAAATATGTGTCCTTTTTCCTAAGAATGGTCTTGGAAATGCTATCGTTTTACTTAATGAAGGTGAAAATGCTTACGGCATTTCACAAAACGTATAAATAACCAAAACAATCTTTATTAGGATGTTCAAGAGAAATAAATTAATTAATTTCTTTTTAACTAGATACTTAGAGATGCATCAATTAGTAAATAATGATTAAATGTTTACCAAATATCTACTTCAGGAAATTTCGATTCACTTCTGATTTTTGTACTTTCGTTATTTTTTATTCCATTTCGAAAACAATTTCAATCTTGTTAAGTAAGCAGAAGAACACGAAGGATTCAATTTCTTATAATCGCGATGCATGTAATTGCTCATTATTATTCAAACCTCACACACTCTTTAAGAATTCATATTTTCCTCTCTTTTTTCCCGTACACATAAGTGTGCATATGAAAAACATGACTTTCAATATCGAATAATGTTTCAACATGAAGGTTTCATTCTTGACTTGTTTATGCATAAGCGAAAAGGCAAAAGTTTGAAAGATTTAAGAGTTTCTGGTTTAATGATTACAAAATTTGAAGCTGTTGTATTTGAATGGCTTGAAATTGCTTTTTTCAAAAGAAGTGATTGAATTTGTCGTTGAAAAAAATCGATTTTGGCTCAATAAAGTTTAATAAACATCTCATAGCGTTCAGTTTGACGTGCTTGAAATCTTTTCTAATGTTGTAGGTGAAGAGATCAGTGGGTGTAATGAATTGGCATTACATTTTTATGTCTGAAAACATAAAAACAAATTGACGATTTTCTCCTTGGCTGTCTTTCCATCGCTTTCTTTTTCAACTTCTTTCTCGCATCGGGAAAATATTTGTAGAAGGCAGACAAGATTTTTCCATTCTCGCTTCATGACGCATTCAATATTCCTTATCTGTAATTTCAACTTATGTTTCACGGTACACTGATACGCCAGTTGGAGTTCGAGTATAAAGCGTTCCTTCCCCTAGTGAATTTCAATTTATCGTAATTTGTCGAAAAGGTTTCGAATCACTGCTCTATATGCTTACTATTCAATTCAATCTTTTCTAGAATGTGCTTATTTGATAAAATGTTGCACATGTCTCTTGAGATGTACGATTTGGAATTCCCAGCAAAATTCCGAATGAAACGATTCCAATAGGTTTTCACGGAAAATGTTTTACTCGTTCTTTACAAAAGCATTGCTTATATACCTCAACTTTTGTGCTTTCTTAATAGAAATGCTGACTTATGGAGCTTCAACAATAATATATAAATATGTATGTTTATTTCAATTTCAAAATACACGAAGTTGAAAGAACTCATAAAGACGGGGCAAATTTGCTTCATTGGCCTAAGTGTCTGTGCCATCGGATTTGTATCAGAATTCGTATCGATTCACTAATCGGTACGATCCTGGTTCCATTCTCGGTGGTGGTCACTTGGGCTGAGGTTTTCAGAAGTTTAGATACTTCGCCCCTGTTTCATTTAAAGTGGAATTTTTCACTAGGATATAATAAACTGAAATGTCTCTTTGTATCAAATTTGATAAAAATATAAATTTGTCAAATATGAACAATGAAGAGTATTCAGGAATATACAATCCTGTGGAACGCTACTGAAAGTGGAACCTTCATCATTCAGGTGATGAGACAAAGGGAGCGAAACAAGTTGGAATTTATATTCCTGTATTCTTAATCGCTTTAGTGTACAGTCGTGCACTCCCTACTCTGATGATGATGAAGAACTCATAAATTTTTAAACATTAACTTCTGTTTGTATATTTACGTTTCATAAATAAAAATATATTTATGAAAATTTCACTTGATGCTTATCGCAAAGCTTTCACAGTAGATAAAAAGAATTAATGAATTGACTATGTAATGATTAAATAAAAGATATTTATGTTCATCATAAACATTGATATGTTAGATAAAAATTAAAATCATCAAATTTTTTATATTTTGCAAAATGAACATCGCTTTGCGATTCAGCTTGTATATTAAATGATTCAATATTCATCCCTGATGATGAGTTGCCAAAAATTGATTGCGAACCACATTTGTCTGATGGTTACTGAGTATATTTGTTTCTAATAAATATGTATCATCTAAGTTTTACTACTCATGAGGCAACTGTGACCAAAAATGCTAATCCATCGTTGTATATGAATTTTTTTTTCCTTATTTTGCAAAGAGAAAAAAATTATTTATGAGTCTCCTAACTCTTGTGTTTTTTCCTTCGACGTTTACTAAAGCTGTCAAACAGATAAGAAAACATTTTTCCTCGTAGTTGTTTTCATGTTTACAATCTTTAGCACACAAATTATCGGAAAATGAACGAGGAAAGTCACTCTCAACCATCAAGACTATAATTTTTGATATCGATAAGGTAGGCGCCACGTAAAAAGTATTTTTCGAGAAAAGTATTGCTTCATCTCGATTCTTTTTTGTTGTGCCGCTTCGAGCACAGAAATAATCTTGCACAGACCATTAATTTGAAAAATTGCAAAACTTTATTCTCTCTTTTTTGTCTCTACTTGGGCAAAAGCTTTGTAGAGAAGATAAAATTGCTGTTTGAGAGCAATGAATTATTTTATAAATATTGAAGAAACAAATGATTGTTAGGTCTTATTAAGCGGATAACATAAACTTTTTATTTCATAGAATAAAAAAGCTTTTAAATTCGTGGTAGATAGTTTCTCATAAAGATTTCAGTAAAGTAAAAAATAAATCGTTAAACTCTTTATAGCGATTAAATTAAACAAATAATTTGATTACTCGTCTTAGTTTCTTTTAATCTCTTCTGATTTTAGATTCTTAATCAAGACAATACTTGGATGCTTAAAATTTTAATCTTCTAGAGATAATAGAAATAAAACCGCTTTATCCATTCCGTTGAGTTCAATAAAACACCATTAAATAAGAAAAGGAATTAAGTGATTTACTTGAATAATAACAAGAACAGAATTCCAAAATCCTTACAATTCAGCAACTGGTTTTGACACTTTTAAATAAGTTACAAGCTACTATAAATTTATTTCTATTACGAAATAACTTCACATGGTTTGAAAAACGGAAAATTTTACAACTTGAGCTCTTTTATTTGACAACGAGAATGAAAACGCGTTTGAAACAGTCAACATGACGTCATGTACTGTAACGAAAATGAGAAATTTCCTGAAATGCATTGAAACCTTTTTTCCTTTCATCCACAGAAAATTGATGAGAGATTTATAAACAATTTTATGATGTTGTTGCTACATGCTGAAGCTGTGAGCATAAAAGCAGATTATAACTCATCAAGTTTTTCTTTTAATTTCTATGCAAACATTTTACTCACGAAAAATGAAAATTTTCTCCCAGATCCTTTGATTTTCTCTCGCAATTTAATGTTTCTTTCTTCCTTTTTGTTGTAGATAGGAGACTGTCACTCACAATTTTATATTTCATACTTTATTACTTGCTTTGGGTTTTATCTTTTCAACCTAAATTGTTTTCGCTTTTTATGGTTTAAAACTTTAAATATGGAGAGGTCTGAAATTTACCACATATTAGGTATTTTCCCAAAAGAAACAATAAAGTGAGTGAAAATTGGTGTCATGTTAAAGTTTCAAACTTTTATCTGTGTTCAAATGTCAGATTATATGTTTGCAAACGAGCATAAAGAGAAGGCAACATAAATTCTCGTATGCTTAAGTGTAGATAATTTTCTATGAGAAATTATATTCATAATGTTATCTAATAAATCTTTCTTTGATTGAAAACAAAAATGAAACTCTACCCTTAAAATTTGGTGCCATAAAATTGCATAAATTTATGAACAATATGCTTCATCAAAAAAAGTTCATCCAAAAAGGTTCTCAATTTTATTTTATGCAAATAATAACATTGAGTCAGAACTTTTAAGGTAAATTCAATTTTGATTTCATTAAATTAAATTTCATTGAATCGTTTCATCTTGCTCTTCATTGCTGTTTAACTTTTCAAATAATTTTACAACAAGAAAGAAATAAAATTTTGTATTTATTGACATGTGATGAAGTTCAGTTGACATTTCTTTCCTTGATTTTAAGATGGCAATGAATAATTTTACTTACTCATGAGTAAGCACTGAATAAAGGTTCTTATAAAATAAAACATATAAATGTATGAGAAGAGTTTGAGTTGTATTATTTATCAACATTATTGTCTTGGTATTTTAATCTCACAATGTTTATTTTTTCCCTTCTCTTAATTATCTAGAAAGCTTCAATTCTTTCGAGTTGGATTAAACATAATCAGAGTTACGACAGAATTTATGTGAGGGTTCTCTTTTCTCTTTGTATGTTAATACTTAATTCACAAAATATTTGTTAACATCAAAGGGGAAAGAATTTCTTTGAAATAAATACTAGAAATGGAACTTAAAGAATATAAATCGATATTAAATTATTATCATAGCCTTGTGTATAAACTTGATTTTATAAAGCGAATTGTTTCAAGCTTGAAAATATTTTAAAGAGAATGAAAATAACCAGAATATATTTGATCAGAGAACTGTTGTAAGAAGAGTCACTTTAAGATTGTTTTCGGCTAAGAAATTTGATTATGGAACTCCCAACAGTCAGTTGGAAAAAGAAAGAAAGAAAGAAAGAAAGAAAAATCTTTTCAACGAGTATGGAAAAACGAATAACATTCACGAAAACATTTTCATGAAAAGCTTTTCTTATATTTTTTTCATTGTAAATTGAATCACAGAAATTGAAGTTTTCTTTTCCAGTATCTCAACAATGACTTACAAACTCTACTGATTCTAATGTATTTTCGATAAATAGGAAAAATGGGGCATTTTGTTGATTTTCACTTACTTAGAGTAGTTGTTATAGGATATACAGTAAAGATATATTAATATTAAGGTCTGATGATCAGATCTCGAAGTAAAAAATACATTTTATTTCTTTCAATATGAGATTCGAATCTTATTATGTCCTAAATCTAGTGTTCATTCTTATTAGTAGCAGTTAAGTACAGAAAGGCTTTCATTAGATTGAGTTTTCTTAGAGATTTCCTTAAGAGTGAATATTTAACCCACACAACAAAAAGAAAAAAATTGAGGAAGCTTGAAAGGTTAAGTAAGAGAGCTCGAGAGAAAACTAAGTGGTGAACTTTGTGTGTTTAATTTTTTAATATAAAACATATACATATAGGGTGAAAAATGTAGATTCGAAAGAAAACAAGCTTTTTCTTCCAATTCACAACTTTAGCTACTTATAATTTCGCTCTTGTTTTGTTTTGAACACTGGAACTTACACCAAAAGAAAGCTTATTTAATGCACTTTCTTGCTGTATTTTTTTCATTTTAAAAAACGTTAATTAAATAAACTAAAATTATTAAAATTAAGAGCTATGTTTTTAAATGTTGATTCGAAAGCAAAAATGTTGATTCGAAAGAAGATTTAATGTTGATTCGAAATATTTTTTGAAAATAAGTAGACCTTTCTGTAGACCTTAACGGAAAAATAAAAAGGTAAACAAACATTATTCTGTCTCGTTTCATGAATTAAATAAGCTTCATTTTCATAATTAAATTTTAGTTTAAATAACAAATTAAAAAAGTTTCAATTAAAAACATTTTAGCTCATTTTATTGTAGAACTAAAATAAAAATGTAAACAACAGTAGACAAAACTTCCGCAAGTTGAAGAATATTGCTACACAAAAACTTTTCGAATCAACATTAAAACGCTTTGCGAATCAACATTCAAAAACTTGCCTTAACATTTTTATTAATTACGCTACAAATTGTTAAAACTAAATATAAATCGAAGTGTTTTTATTTAGTATAACAAATAAGGTAGCATTTTGTTAAAACAGAAGTTTAATTTTCATGTCTTTAAACTTTTAAAACTTCTGATGAAAATCGATGAGGCTTTTTCGGAATGGTAGACCAAAACCATAAGAAATAACAAAACGAAATCTAACATCGATTTTAAAATTAAATGTTATTCGAGCAGATCAATTGACTGCTCAAATATGTGCTATAACTAATAGCCTAAATATAAGAAATTCCAAATAGCGAACAAATGCGACAGATTGTCCAAAATTTAAGCTTGTTTGGACCGCTGTCGTAAGCTTTCGAATCAACATTGCTTTCGAAATTACATTACTCACCCTAAATGTTTCCGCAAATGTTTTCAAAGGTGAAATTAACAGGCCAGGTCGTCAGGCAAAAGTTTTTCGATAAACCCAATAAATATGTAAATACATGTCAAATTCATTTAAACAGTTCTGGTGCTTAAATTAAATTAAATTTGAAACTTTAATAAGTTATTTCTAATTACAAAAATAAAGATAACCTTTCTCTCATTTAAACAGTTCAACATGCACATTCATTAATTGATCTCTTTTATAAGAATCTTTATTAGTGAGCTTTAAATCACTACCTTCATTGTTATAATTTCAAAATTATTTAAATCACATTTCTTGAAGTAGATTTTTCTATTTTGCAATAATCAAACAAAAATTTGAAAAAATGTATG